CCACTTGGCTGTCCTCTCTGCTCTTTTCTGACTGCCCTACACGTGGCTTGCCACGTGGGCGGCCTTCTGCCACCCTCGAAACGAGAGGGGGGGGGGGGTAACACATGATAAATAGAATTTTGTGTTTGTTATCGAAAGAGCTCACAAATGCGATAAGGAAAGGAGTTACATGCAAAGTATTAAAAGTTGAAGAATAGATAGAAAACTGCAATTGTCGTGCCTTTTGCCGAGAAAATCTGCAGTCACTAACTGTAAACAAAATCTCATTTGGGCAACTAAATTTAAATGTTTCTCAATTGGGTTATTAAACTTCAATTTCATTTCCAAATTCACTAGGTTATATTCTGCCACCTATCTCCCAAACTAACGAAAATAATCGCAATGTAGCACTCTGGCAATGAAAATTGTAATCGCTATATAGCACTCTGGCTATGCTTATGAGTTAGATATTCCCGAGTCAAATAGTTGGACTTACATAAAATAACATTGATTTATTCATATCGTACTTACTTACTATATTGAAACTCCTGGATCCGCAAACGGAGCCACTCACTCTAACGAATCTAGAAGAATCTGCTCAAGGGTCTCTCTTTTGCTGATTGAAGCAGGAAGTCAACTTCCATTCACTTGGTAAACTCTAACGAATCTAGAAGAATATGCTCAAGAGTAATTAATTGACATGACATAAGCAATTTTTATCCATTTGAAAGACGACATATAAAAGAGAATTATTATGCAAGTACAAAAATTGTACATGTATTGTGTTGGTAGCACCTGTATAGCTGCATTTTTTTTTGTGTTTTTATCATCTTCTAATGATAGTCTGCCAAGTGTTCATCTGTATGATTTCTATACCTATAGCATTGTTCTATAAAAGAACGGTGAAATTTAAGATAAATTGAAGTTCGATGATCCAGTTGTTATTAGATTGAAGTTGAGTGAGCGGAAACAAGAATTCGTTCAAAGTTACCCACAATGGAATGAAATATTTGTAATGAGAAAAAAGTGGTAGCATGAGAGACAGGTAGTTAATAGGTCCCTACATTCAAGGATCCAAAACATTAAGAAGCATATCATTTTCAGACCAATAATAAAATAGATATTCAGAAACTGTCTCCATTCATCTTAATCAACAGAAAATGTGTTAAAAATCTGTAAATGATGTCTAAATTTTCAGAGATCTGGAAAGAGGAGGAGGATGTTGCATAAAGCAGCAAAAAATGCATATTCATGGTGGTGGGCTAGTCACATCAGGACTAAACAGTCTAAATGGCTCGACCAAAATCTACAAGGTGAATCATTTTAACAGCAGACATCTCTTCTTTATTGAACTGTGAACTTTTATGTAAAATTAGGATTATTTTCCCGACTCAGAAATCCATACATTATACCAAATTGAGGGCCGCAGAAAGCATTCCCTTGTTGGTCGAGACGATAACATTTTAATACAATCTAGAAGATATGGTCGAATGATTTATGGGGAATTGATATTCTTTGCCACTGAAAATGTACAATACATGCCTACATTTCTATTATTGACTGAAAATTGTTTGGTTACAGATATGGAGGAGAAAGTTGAGTACATACTCGAAATAATTCAAGAGGATGGGGACACATTTAGACAGAGGGCAGAAATGTACTACAGAAAAAGGCCAGAGCTTGTCAATTTTGTTGAAGATTCTTTTCGGGGTTATAGAGCATTAGCAGAAAGATACGATCATTTATCGAGAGAGCTGCAGAGTGCTAATAGAACAATGGCCACGATTTACCCTGAAAGGATTCATTTAGAAATGGACGAAGATTTTGATGGTGACGGAGATAACCTTGTTCCTAAAGTTGAATCATTCAACAAGAATTTACCGGCCGCACCAGAGTTACGTATCCAAAAACCCACTTTTCGAAAGAAGAATTCTAAAGGGCCATTGAGATTAATGTCAAACAAGGGCTTAATCAAGATAAATGAAAGTAATGCTAACCCTCGTGTTTTAACTCCAATTTCGGGATTGAGCAAATCTGAAGCAATAGGTGAAATCGATAAGCTTCAAAAGGAAATTTTGGCCCTGCAAACGGAAAAAGAGTTTATCAAGAGCTCTTATAAAAGGGGGCTAGCAAAGTATTGGGACATTGAAAACCAGGCAAATGAAATGCAAGCCAAAGTTAGCTACTTACAAGATGAGTTTGGCATTGGAACAGTAATCGAAGATGATGAAGCTCAAACTTTGATGATCGACACAGCTCTGAAATCCTGCCAACAGACCTTAGCGCGGTTACAAGAAAAACAACATCAATCAACTGAAGAGGTCACAGAAGAGTACCTTAAGATTGAAGAAACCCGCAAAAAACTTGATACTCTCAAAGAGAAGTTTATTAGCAAACAGGTACTCTCTGAAGAATACATGGCGATGAGGCCAAAAGTGGTGTCGAAGAACTTAGAAGAATTACAAGTGAAGAGCATAAAAGAAGAAATGTTGCCTGGCGCACCTCTAACAATGCATGAACTGGAAAACAAGGTTGATGACTTTGTAGAAAAGGTTATAAACCTAGAAAATGCTGTATTTTCCCAGGCTGCACACGTTAAGAGACTAAAGTCGGAGATAAATGAGCTTCAGGTCCATATTCAGAGCATAGAAGAGGAAAACGAAAGTTTGATTGAAGGTCCAAACGACATGATCCACAAGGTCAGAGAAGAAGAAGAATTGCATAAAGTTCAGTGTCTCATTCAATCAGTCGAAGACCAAAACAACAACCTCCAAAATAATTTTATTGAAGCAGGGTGCAGTTATGAGGCGGAGCAATTACTAAATGTGAAGCCCGATGAAGAATACAATGTCCCGGGAATATTCACCGACGTCAATGTGGAAAGAAACAAGAAAAGTGATTTATCCAATGAAGAGCAAAAAATTTTTGTCCAAACCACTTCACGGAATCACATATCTGATTTTCTTTCAGTGGTTGACCAAGTACGAGCTTTTTCAAATCTTAACCGAGAGATAGAACTATCAAAAGAAGAAACGAGGACAACCCCTGCTAGTGCTTCCGGAGTTTTAGAAGATATGAGATTACCGCAAGAAGTCATGCGAGACTGTTTTGTGGACAACTGCATTTCTAATAACAGTATGTCCTCCGAAGATTACAAACAGCACCTTGATTCCCAAGTTACTAATTCAGTATATGGGGCCAAACCAACAGACAGTCTGATCGATCCTGCCACGGATTCAATGGTCTCTAAAGATATAAGGACAGAAGAAGGTGAAGGAAAGAGAATGGCATTTCGGGATGACAATAATTCTTTCAGATGTGAAGAAACAGATCAAGTACTGCTCGATTCAGACACCAATCGCCATCATGGGTTCAATGAGGATATCACTGCTCCTGACCATGATTTAATGACCTTAAAAAATATGATGATGCAACAGCAAGGGAAGAATGAAGATGTTCTTAGGGAAGAGCAAGGGACGTGTGGGGATGTTCTGATAAATGACCCAGCAAATAATGGTAATGCTCTGAATTGCTTTACGAAAAGAAGTGTTGGTGAGAGTTCAATGATACAGTGCAAGAAACAATATGATAGAATGGCTTCTCTTCCTGGAGATCTGAAAACTCAAGGCAACGAAGATATTTCGAAAAACATATGTGACCATTCACCCAAAGGCCAAGACGGAGATTTCATGGATTCCACTTCAGAAATGTCAGATGAATGTGAGAATACAAAATATAGGAAAATGATAGATGCAGACAAGAAATATGAAGTCTCAAGAAATATGGACTTGCAAAAGGAGCTGAAGAAGGATATTCTTTCAGATGAAGGTACTTTTTTCTTTGCCAAATTTGTAATTTTTTTAATTAACAGTCAACAATAACCTGTTACTGATCAACAGCAAAAAAGCAAGATTTGTTCCACAACAATCCCAATGTGGAGCAAAATGAACTTGCTGCACAAGACCATGACGAGCCAAATTGGAAAGCACTGTTTTTGAATGAATTAGATGACAGAGAGAAGATTCTACTGCAAGAATACACTACAATGCTTAAGAATTACAAGGACGTAAAGAGAAAGCTCAATGAAGTAGAGAAGAAAAAACGAGCTAGCCTTTTTCAGTCAGCAGTACAGGTAAAAGTTCTGAGAAATGCTAATTCCTTGAAGGATGAAGAGATTCAATCTCTACTGTGGAAACTAAACTTTCTAACAAACAATGATGAGACGCAAAATACATCAGTATGCACAAATGAATCTGATCTTCAGATTGTAGATCATAAGGCAGTCCCAGATAATTCAGATAAACCAATATTTGATGGAACTGAAGCATCAAATATAGCAGAACCGGTGAGGGTGTCTCCTGTGGAAGAAAATGAAGAAGATATCAATATTATGTGTGTAGATGAACCTCAAAATTTTTCCACTTTAGAAGAAAAGATACGCATGGACATTGATGATCTACTGGAGGAAAACATAGAATTTTGGCTCAGGTTTAGTACCTCATTTTACCAAATAAAAAAATTTCAAACTTCAGTAGATGATTTACAGGCTGAGGTGGCCAAACTGAAGGAAAAGAAGCAAGATGGAGCTGCAAAAAACCAACACTCAGATATCCGTCCCATTTACAGGCACCTGCGACAGATACAAACTGAGCTTACTTTGTGGTTAGAACATAATGCAATGCTGAAGGATGACCTGCAAAACAGATCATCGTCTCTGTTAAATTTACTGGAAGAAATACAAGAAATGACAAATTCAGGCCCCACATTTAAAGAGACTGAGCTCAGTAATTATCAGGCTGCAAAGTTTCAAGGTGAGATTCTGAACATGAAACAAGAGAACAATAAACTTGCATATCAACTGCAAGCAGGTCTTGAACGTGTAAGAAAACTTCAAGTTGAGATTCAAAGGACACTATCACAACTGGATCGGGAACTTGGGATTTCTGCAAATAATATACAACATAGAAATCGATGTAGGATCCCTTTAAGATCCTTCTTGTTTGGAGTAAAACTGAAGAAGCAGAAACCATCATTTTTTTCATGTGTCAGTCCAGCACTGCAAAAACAGAATAGTGATCTTACAGCATTACCAACATAAAAACATTTTTTTTTTCTCTTTTCATAATTACATTGTTTTTTCTGTTTTTCTTTTCTTTTAGATTCTGTGAACATAGCAGTCAGATCCTCATTGTGCAGTAATCTAGCATATATACACACACATCACTTAGTTTCTTCCATCTTTCCTCTTCATAAAATCCCTTCACAAGATAAAGTGAACTATTTGTTTGACTTATCAATCCTGACCTATGCCAGGGAGCAAATAAGATTTTGTTAGAATTGCAATTCAAATTTAATTAAAGCCAGTTTGTCTTTTAAGTTGGTTTTCTTTTCTTTTCGTTTTTCCCTCTCCTTTTCCTTGGCAAATAGAAAAAGGTTCACATTAAGTGGAATAGAAGATGAAGAAAAAATGGTCGATTGCATCCATGCTATACAGATACTGATATTCAGGCACAACTACTACATACAAATGTGGAGCATTTTGAAAAACAGAAACAAATACTTCATACAAGGTCATTGGGCGCTGCATGATTGCATCTGTTTTCCAAACAATTCTATCTACAGAAATGCTAAAGTTGCCCACCTCACATCGCCTGCCAACCACCACAGCCAGATTTCATTGCTTCTCTTAGCTGGAGAAGCTATCATGCTATTATTTTCTGTACTCTTGCACTTAGCTGAAACAATATTATCAATACCAGTTGCTTCTGAACTAGATAGACAACTGAAATTACCATCATCTTCTACTCTGGGCTTGCAAAAGCAATTTGATCATCTTGATTGTGCTCCTTCGATGCAGTACCTAATGTAACAGCAGGATGATTTTCAACTTTGTTTTCTGCTTTGTGAATTTCATCCATTAGAGCACAACCCGAAAAGAAGCTTCATCTACACCTTGATCTCCTATGAAATCTTTTCTCCCATTTTCTGAGCTATAAACAGCGGTGTCCATTGCAGTTTCGATGAATTCAGTAGTCGGAACAGTCAGTCCTGAGGATGTACCTGTTGGGTCAGACTATACTGCTGGTGCTGCAAGTTTTCCAGAATAGCCTTGAGCTTGCTTCGTTCCAGCAGCAGAATGTGAGCCATTTGATGCTGAAACAGAGAGAAGTGTTGCTCCATGAATGACCACATTCCCAGACAAGTGTCTTTCGCTGCCAGCCACCGAGGATTTTATTACAGAAATTCCACCAGGCATGATATGAAACAGCATTCTTAGACTGTGAAGCCTTAATTAATGATGCAGCATCGGAAGGGGTAGCAATTCGGGCTCCAGCAGCAACTGCAGTAGCTTTAACCACTGATTCTGGGAAGAGCACAGTGTTTGCTGATGGCTTTTTTAAAGCTAAATGAGAATTCAGAGGTCCTGTAGAATCTTGTCGAGGTTGATGCTGAAATTGTATGCTAGCTGGAGAAGTTTCAGGAGCAGCAGGGTGTGAGGAGTTGCTGGGGTTGCCATGTGAACCTGCAAAAACTTGTTTGTTTCAACCAGAAATCAATTAAAGATTTCACTGGAGGTGGTCAAGTCAAGATGTTTATTGGGATAAAAATAATAATAAACGAGAAAAAAGCTAGAGATAAGTAAATAACCAACACACCGAGGCATAGAAAATTTACTTGCTTTATTAACTCCATGAAAAATCAGGAGAACAATTACACGATAAGATGATCCATGATTTTTTCTGTGTTTATTGCATAGCAGTTGTAATTAAAAAATTCCACTTTAACTAACTAGACAATTCATCTCTTCAGTTCACATCAACATGTTTCAAGATAAGTTAATCCGAATTGATCACCAAAAAGCTAAATTGTCTTAAAAAGCTTCGAGAAAGCAACGTTAACAAATTCAATAGTTTATACACTGAGTTTTAATCAGATATGCTATAGATGTAGGAATTATTCATGCCCAAAAACACAAAGTAATACAGAAAATAGAAATGAACACAAAGGATTTTTCGCCCTAAGGCCTGGATGTTCACCCAAATTAGGGCTAAGGGATTATACAGGCCCCAAAACACAAAGTAATACAGAAAATAGAGATGAACACAAAAGATTTTTCGCCCTAAGGCCCGGATGTTCACCAAAAAATTAGGGCTAGTCACCCGTTGAGCATTCATCGAAGTGATTAACGCTCAAATCCACTAGAAACGAAAATATTATAAAGATCAAGGTTACAGTACAATAGATCCACAAAGGATCAGCCCTCAAATCCAAGTATCTCTCACAAATCACTCAGAAAACGATTAAACAGAGTAACCAAAGGTTTCTGCCCATAGAAGAACAGAAAACCAAACTCAAGTCTTAATCAAACACTAGATCTCACCAAGAACACCTAGATCAAAGATTACAGGCGAAAACCAAAGGTTTTCAGAGAGAGAGAAAAAAGAGAGCCAAAAAAAGAAAACCCTACAATGATCTCGAATAATTGAGAGTGAATGAAGAGACAAGCTAAAATAACATCAACAGGCAGAAGCATCCAACAGTCGTAGCTCCATCCATGTGTCACAATCTCAACCCTTGAGATAAGTGATGAATTGGGCTATCGGGTTGCATTCAATGGGCTGGCCTCCTCACAATAGTTAAGGGTGCATCACAGGATCCAAGGAACAGGTAAGTAAATTGGGCTGCCACAATATGGGCCAAATTGTTAAGCACCAATTTTTACAATCTCCACATTGATTGACAATTTGGGTTTCACAGTGAATTGAATGTTAACTCCTACTTCAGCTTCATTTGCTCTTGGTACCTGCAAAAGACATTAGTTAGTAATGACATTTAGGAGATTTAAACAATCCCTAAATTTGTAAAAAGAAAGAATCTTTGTACCCATGTTTGCAAGATTACACTTAGTAGAAATTTTATCAATCTTCATGATTCTTTTTTCTAACACATCTCTTATAAAATGAAATTTAACATCAATATGTTTAGATCTATCATGAAACACAGGATTTCTACTTAATTATATTGCAGACTGGCTGTACAACGCCGTTTTCAGAAAAAACCAATTTCATTTAGCAAGTTTTTCAACCATATACCTTCATTCACAGAATCAGTGGCTGTAATGTATTCAGCCTATGTATAGGATAAATCTACAATCTTTTGTAGCTGAGATTTCCAGCTAATGCATGAACCATTTAAAGTAAAGACATATACAGAAGTTGATTTTCTATAATCACAGTTACCAGCAAAATCAGAATCAACAAAATCTTTCAATTTAATTCCAGTTTTACTTTTGCTAAACATAAGCCCTAAATCAGAAGTGCCCTTCAGGTATATAAATAACCATTTCATAGCTTCCTAATGATATTCACCTGGATTGCTCATGTATCTACTCAAAACACTTATAGCAAAGGCAAGATCAGGTCTAGTGCAAATCATAACATACATAACAGACCCAACAACATTGGCATATGGAACCTTTTCCATTCTAGTCTTTTCTATTTCAGTTTTAGGACATTGTTCAGATGAAAATTTAAAGTGACTACCAAGTGGTAAAGTGACTTCCTTGGCATTATCCATAGAAAACTTGCATAATATCTTTGAAATGTAAGACTGTTGAGTAAGAAACTACTTATGATAATTCCTATTTCTTATAATTTCCATTCCTAGAATCTTTTTAGCTTCTCCTAGATCTTTCATTTCAAATTCTTATTTCAATTTTTGCTTAATCATGTTAATTTCAGTTATATCACACCCATCAAGTAATATATTATCAACATAGGGCAAAAGATAACAGGAATCAGGGCCACCACTGCCCTTGTAATAAAAACATGGATCATATTCATTTATATTAAAATCAAGTCCCTTAATAAAAGTATCAAACCTGATATACCATTGCCTCGGGGCTTGTTTCAAACCATAGAGTGATTTTTGTAAAAGACATACAAGGTTTTCTTTACTTTTTTGTTCCAAACCTTTAGGTTGAGATATGTAGATTTTTTCATCCTAGTTTCCATGTAGAAAAGTAGTTTTGACATCCAATTATTCTAATTCAAAATCAAATTGAGATACAATAGAAAGCAAAACCCTTATAGAGGTGTATTTGACTATAGGAGAGAAGATTTCATTGTAGTCAATTCCCTCTCTTTGGTTAAAACCCTTAGCAACTAACCTAACCTTAAATCTTACATCCTTACCTTCAATAGTTTCTTCTTTTACCTTAAAAATCCATTTACAGTCAATGACCTTTTCTCTTTTAGGTTTATTGACTAAGGTCCAAGTCTTATTCTTAGCTAATAAGGTCATTTCATCCTTTATAGCAGCAAGCCACAAACTTGCAAGTTCCCCTCCCATGGCCTCTTCATATGTGTTAGGCTCACTATCTAGAAAGTTCTGAACATTCAAAGCTGTAACAAAATCAGAATCATTGTATCTAGAAGGAGGTCTGACTTCTCTTCTGGTTCTATCTCTTGCAAGGGAATAATCGTCTAAGGGATTTTCAGGTTGGTTTGGAGATAAGTTAGCAGGTTCAGCCTCATTGATAGTTCCAGTTTCATCAGTCAATACCTGATTAGGCTCCACCTCAAACTGATCATCATTACCAGAGGTTAAATCTGTCTGGAATAGTTCCGTTTCTAAAATTGTTTTATTTTGATCAGTTTTAGGTGTAGCAGGAGCATCTCCTTTAATGCAGGGCATGTCAACCTCATTGAAAACAACATTTCTACTAATGGTGACTTTGTAACCTCCTAAAGATTTCAACCAAACCCTATAACCCTTAATACATTCACCATATCCTAAGAAAATACACTTAACAGACCTAGGATCCAGTTTACCCGCATTATGGTGTACATAGGCAGCACAACTAAAGATTTTTAGTTTAGAATAATCCACAGTATTGCCACTCCAGACATGATCAGGGGTATCAAATTTTAAGGATTTAGTGGGATATTTGTTTATCAGATATGAAACAGTTTTCACTGCTTCCCCCTAGAATAGTTTTGGTAGTCCTGAACTTATCAGCATGCATTTGACCATTTCTAACAAACTCCTATTCATCCTTTCAGCAAGCCCATTCTATTGAGGAGTATAGGTAACAGTCCTATGTCTAAGAATCCCATTTGTTTTGCAAAAATTATCAAACTCTTCATTGCAAAATTCAAGGCCCTTGTCAGTTCTAAGGGCTTTAACCTTCTTATTTACTTGATTTTCAACAAGAGTTTTCCAAGAAACAAAATTTTGAAAAGTATCAGATTTATTTTTCAAAAGTAGGACCCAATTTTTCCTAGACAAATCATCAATAATCAGAAGATAGTATTTAAAGCCAAAATAGGTATTCACAGAAGCTGGTCCCCAAAGATCAGCATGAAGATAATCAAGTATGCATTTAGA